AACCGCTAACCGCTATCCAAAAACCGTTATACCAAACGGACCTTAAATAGAGGAAAATTTTCTCCTCTCCTCCTCTCGCCTTCATTTCCCTAATCTCTCAATCAAAACATTTGGTCAAAAAAGTTAATAACCCAACACAATTCTAATACAATTTCATTATAAACTTTTTTTAGTTTTTGTACCATGCTTTTTCAATTATTTTTTTAATAACATTAGTTTCTAACTAAACAAATCCTTACAAAAATATATCAATGATCACTTGCTTACTTAAGTTGTTGGCAACAAAGGTACTAACTCTAAATGGTCAAGATTGATACCGATAAACTTGATTAAACTTAATTTACGCTAAGCTTTATCAAAAAAAATAAATGTACCATTAACCATGTGGTTTAGAAAGAAATGTAGCACAATTTGTTTATATTATTCTTTTTTAGTAATTAGTAAATATGATAATATTAATTTGTAATTAAAATTAATTTTTAATTAATAAATATAAAAATCATTTCGTATATATATATTAATTCATTATAAACAAGTATTTGATATCTATATCAATTAAAATTTTTTGAGATAAACATGATAGAGTAGTTAATCAAAATCTTCATTAGTTTCTTAATCTTTGTATCTATAACTATGACTATTATAGATCTCTTTTTTATCCTAATTTGTCTCATCTCTTCTAAATGCTGATATTACAAGTTTGTAAGTCCAAACATAAGTAATATAACTCATTAGAATTATTCTCTTAATACTTTTTCATTTACATGTACTCCATGTTTCATTAATTTTTGTTATTATCTTATCTCTTAGCTTATCTTCATATATTTTATCATTATATTTATTTATGTACTTATATTTGCCATCATTTTCTCTCTATATATTGATAATTTATTTGTTTTATTCTTTCTCACATTATCCTTTCACTATATTACTCATTTTTAATCACTTTTTGTACCCTTATTGATCATTATATACATACTTTTATTCCAATTCTCTTTCTCTCTCTCTATTTATATTAGATATATTTTAAGTCAAAATATAGAAGGCATAACATTTTAGCATTATTCCATTGATATTTTTTTACTTGTGTTCCTTTACTCATCTCTCATTATTTTTTCTTATGACACCATATCTTAAGTTACTATTGCATATTTTCTCACTATATTTAGCACTCTAAACTATATTTGCTATGTGTTTTCTTTCTATATTAATAATTTATTTGTTATTATTATTTCTGTCCTTATCATCCCCTCTCTATTATTCTTTCTTAGTCATTCCTGTTCATTTATCTGTATATTTTTTTACCCAATTTTCCTCTTTCTATCTATCAGTAAATATTTTATATTTTCTCACTATTACAATAACACATAAATTTCTTAAAATCACAAATAATTTAGTAATACGTACAATAAATTTATATACAAACCCGTGCTATTAGTTTTATCTAATTTTTCTCTTTATGTTAGTAATTTATTCATTATTATTCCTTCTCCCATTATTCTTTCATTTCTATTATTTTTTCTTAATCATTCTTTTAAATCTCTGTCTACCAAATATATCCCTTCTCTTTACTCTAGTTTTTTCCTATTCAAACTTTTTTACTTATCTATATTTCACCTTTTATCAAATTTTCTTGGAACTCTTTGTCTTAGTTTATTCTCTCACATTTTATTATTATATTTTTCTATTCACTTTACATTTTTTTTATCAACATCTTTTTACTCTACATTCATCCTCATTTTAATAATTTCTTTGTTATTAATTTTTCTTTCATTATCCTTATTCCTTCAATATTAATTTTTATTCAGTCATTGCATCTATACTTATTATTATAATCATTTTTACCCCAACTTCTCTCTCCCTCTCCATCTCCATAATTTTGTGTATATTAGAATTGTTTAACCTTTTATCTTAATGAATATATTGAAAACTTGTAAGAACTCTTACTTTATTATTTTTATAATTTTTTAATAGTTTAGACTTTTGAAAAAAAGAATGTTAAAGCATTTTTAAGTTCCTCACACATATTCTTTTTTTATTTTAGATTTCTTGTAAGTTCATTCTCTTGCTTTCTACTTTTGCTAATATTGCTCATTTATAACATTTTTTGTACTTTTCAAACTGGTCTTTCAAATTGATACACATTAATTATATGTACTACAATTTGAAATTATTCATAATCCTTAAAATTTTAGTAATAATTATTCAAAAACGCATTTATTTAGAAATATTTATATCTTAATTATTAAAAAAATGATTGGTATATCATTCCACTCAATATACCTTTCAACGCCCACTCAATTCAATTATTAAAATGTAAAGGTAATTCAACTAATTCGTACATCATATATATATAATTGCATCTTTAAATTTATTTGCATTTTTTTCATATCAAAAAATAATAATTTTTTAATTAATGTGTTATGCAATATATTGAACTAGATAATATACTAATTAATGTCCTAATTATTACTCTCTTAGTCACAAAATAGTGAATTATAATTCATTATTTAAAAATATATCGATTATATATACTTCTTAAATATAATGTAATGCATATTTACGTAAATATATTATATAATTATCACTCTCTTAGTCACAAAATAGTGAATTATAATTCATTATTTAAAAATATATCGATTATATGTACTTCTTAAATATAATATAATGCATATTTACGTAAATATATTATATAATTAAAGTAAAAGTTATATTATATATTTGGGTAAGTTATTTCAACTTGCATGGATAAGGTTAATACATGTCACGTAAGCAATGATATGTCAATATTTTATCCATGCAATTGAGGCATAAATATGTATTAAATTTGCCATAAATGAAGAGGACTAAATTGCCAAAATTGTTAAATTGAGGAGTTTATTTGCTTCAACAAAAGTTTAGTGGCTTAATCAGGAATCTGGGGTAAGTTTGGGGGTTTAACGTAGGGTTTTGCTTAATTTTTATGATATGGTAGGATACTAAGATTATATGAAAAATTAATTTAATAAGGAATTATATGTATTGAACTCCTCAAGAAAGTTAAAAGAATATTAATTTAATTTAATCATGTTTCAACCTCTTAATGAATTTTCTTTAAAAGGTTCATTTAATATTTATTTGAGATTTTGGAAGGATTTTAAAAGTTTTATTAAATCTCATTGGTTATTTATTTAAAATTTATTGAAGATTTTAATAATTTTTATTATATAGTAAGATAAAATATAATATTGAAGATGTATATAGAAAGATACATAGGAATCCAATTACACATAAATTTTACATATTACATTTATACAAATCCTAATCATTGATCTCTTTTTACAATGATAGAAATTTATTACAACTTTTTAAATGAAAAAAATAATTATCTTTAATAAATATTAATAAACATCAACTATTAAAAATTGAGATATGAATAGTTAAGATTTTATATAAGTATAATACACAAAATTTAAGCGTAAATGAATCACCAGTCTAGAAAGATTATTATTAAAAACATGATTGAGTTTAGATTGAAATATAATTGAAGTAGTTGAAGTAAAATTGTATTATAATGATAATGTGGAAGTAAGCTCTAAACAATTGTTATTATTATATTAATTAATTAGAGGAGTGATCTACTTATATATAAATTTTACATATTACACTTACACAAAATCTCAATTATTCACCTCTCCACTTTCAATAATTGAGATTTATCACAACTTTTTAAATAAACAATAGTTGTCTTTAATAAATATAAATAAATTTTAACAACCAAGAGTAAAGAGATAAATGATTGAGCCTTGTTTGTAAGTAGATCTCTATTCAATTAATTAATATTGTTATATTATAGTGATGACAAAGCTGAAGTAAGCTACAAATTTTTTTTTTAATTCAAAGTAAGCTACAATTGTTATATGCTTATATTTTCCTAAGAGAGGTTCATTATATATTTATTTAAGATTTTATAAGTATTTTAAAAAGATTTATTGAAGATTTTAAAAGGTCCATTGCATAATTATTTAAAATTTATTGATAATTTTAACAATTTTATAATATAATAAAATTATTTGTTTCGCATGCCTAATCAAAGTAGTTAACCAAACACTCCTTAAAACTCTTTGAATTTTCTCGTTTATAAAGTTATATATGTATTTTTATATATTAATATTACAACAAAATAAAAGTAAAAGTAGTATTTTTAATCTTTACATTCCTTGATACAATTCTTAATCCATAAAGTTTTTTTCTCACATATTTTGCAATATTTTGCAAGGAATATTTTTTTTATAACTCTCGTATACTAAATCCGCTTAATAACTATTTCTACTAACTTTTTTTATATCAATTTATTACCAAACATAACAAAATTAAGAATTTTAAAAAATTTAACAACTTTTTATATAATATTTTTCTAATCACTTTATCCTTTTTTTTTTATCAAACTAATCACTTTATCAATAAAAACTTTCTTTATAAAGCAGTGCTCCAAGCAAAGATGGAAACTTCAACCTGGGTTTGACGTGTCCCTTTCCTCTGTCCCCCATAGCATGGTAGGAGACTAGGATTATTTGTGAAAAAATTGCCCTTGTTCAAAAAACAAATAATAACAATAATAAAATTATTTTTGCTCTAATAAAAAAATTCATATTTTTTATAATTCAATTCCTAATATCAATTCCTAATTACTACAAACCAAACATAGACATTCCACAAATCAAATTCACATCCACGCAAATTGACAATTTTTTGTTTAACAGGTTTATAATTAGGCGATAAAATGAAATCAGAGCTTAATTTAGTAATATTTACGGTTAATGTGCCGTGAGATCAAATTTTACAGTCTTTAAGAATAACATTCAAAGTTTCAAACTTTAAACAGATGGGGATGCAATCCTGCGGTTGAAATCAAAGCCTTTAATTTCGTATGTCGAAATCAATGACCAAAACCCAATCACAGATCACAATCGCACGATTCTGTCCGCATCTCAATCGGGACTACATCAGCAATCGCAGCCACATTTCACTCTCTGTTTCCTTCGTGTGAAATCCACTCTATACCGCAGTGGTTGGTATTGGTCCAAACCCAACCACCCTCTTGTGGCTCTCCATCCATATTCTGAGTCGGACTCCAAAAACACCCAGCATAAAATACTCACCAAACACCCTTCCCCTCTTTCAAGCCAGAAAGTTGTGGTCTTTTCATACGAAATGCCCACTTGTGTTCTGGTGTGCTGACGTTCTGCTTTCTTCCTCATTCAATCTAATTTCTTAGAAACGTTTTTAGATCTAATACGATTGTGTTCCGTTGCCCAGGTTTGATTGCTGGAGTTGGGATTTCATCAATTTCGATTCTTTTGTGTTGCTTCGTGAGAATCGGCTCTGGTAAGCTTCCTAGTTTTCTCATCAGATTGTGGAATCAAGTTTGGGATTTCCATGTCAATTGCTATTGGAAATGTCACTGCTTTCTGGACCATCTAGTTTTTTTTATGTTCGTATTATTCTTATGCAATATCAAGATTCATTTTTTACTTCCTTATATTGTTTGCTGTCTTCGTTCTTTGATATTGATGTTGCTTGAGCTCTATTTTTAATTTTCGAGATGCCTGATTTGTTTGGTGTCATTTCGATCCAAATGTTTATACGTTTGTATATGTGTATTCTGTATGTTTGTATACATGAGAGATTCAGTAGTAGACATGATTCATGGTGTATTTCCCTTAAGTAGACACTTTCTCTCAAGTAGACATGAGCAGAGGAATAGAAGATGTATTGGTATATTTTATAAGTATGAGGTCGATGCTATACTGGCTTTATCCGGTTCTACTTCATTTGAACAAAGGAACAACTTTGGAGGTTATATTCAAAATATTATACAGTAGTATTGAGAAAGATAATAGAATGCAATGGTCCTTGTTGGGTGATTCCAACTGAAGCATTCTAATTGAAGAAAGAAGTTCACTTGAAAATAGTGTACATGAAAAAACTGTTTCTCTGGGTGTTCTTTTTTTCACAATTCACAAAGCTAGAACAAAAATTGAAGATATTCCTTTTCTCAAGTTTCTTTCAATGAATTTGCAGTTAAGTCTATGTCATTACCAAAACTGGTGCTATTTCCCCGGATGTTTCAATGTATCATCTGTAAATAGGATTTCTGATTTTGTTTTTGTTGTTGCAGATGGCAGACATTGCTAAGGATCTGGCTGCTGGGACTGTTGGAGGAGCAGCACAGTTGATTGTTGGACATCCGTTTGATACGATTAAGGTCAAGCTTCAAAGCCAGCCTGCTCCTCTTCCTGGGCAACCACCAAAGTATGCTGGTGCTATGGATGCTGTCAGGCAAACTTTAGCTGCTGAAGGTCCAAGGGGTTTGTATAAGGGCATGGGAGCTCCGCTGGCCACCGTGGCAGCCTTCAATGCTGTCCTCTTTTCAGCAAGAGGGCAAATGGAGGCATTGTTGAGATCACAACCTGGTGCTCCCCTCACAGTTAACCAGCAGATTGTTTGTGGTGCTGGGGCTGGAATTGCTGTCTCCTTCCTAGCTTGCCCCACCGAGCTAATCAAATGCAGGTCAGTAGTTGGGGTACTTTCTGTTCTTTTCTCTTCTCTGTTGGCCGTTTTTCCTGTGTTCTGTGGTCTTACCTTTCTCTTTTGCCTCTCTGTTTTGGGTTGAGTGTTTGACATCTACAATTTAATCTTTCACTTCTTTGAGGAGTTTAAATTCTCTACTTCTCTTGATGTGTTGAATGGTACATATTTCCTGAGTAGCATCCTTTACAAATAATCCATGCATTTCTGCTAACATAACACTGCACTTCTGGTCAAATAGAATCTCAGCAGAAAGGGAAAGTAAAGTTAGTCTTTTTTTGTTCTTTTTAGGAATTCTTCTTCACCAATAGGCTACTATCCTCTAGTCACATGCCAACACCCACATGCCTGTAGAGGTTTTATGACCTTTATTAATGTTAAACATCTATGTAATTTTGCACCATGTTTTGGATGACAGTCAGATACCTTAAATCAGAATCACTGCCTTTTAACTAGGGTTTTGTGGTGAAAGCAGGTTGCAAGCGCAGAGTGCATTGGCAGGTTCTGGCACAGCTGGTGTGGCAGTGATGTATGGAGGACCACTTGATGTTGCCAAGCATGTTCTCAAGTCAGAAGGGGGGACAAGAGGACTCTTCAAGGGCCTGGTTCCCACCTTGGCACGCGAGGTTCCTGGAAATGCTGCTATGTTTGGTGTGTATGAAGCAGTGAAACAATCCATGGCTGGAGGGCAGGATACTTCCAAGTTAGGAAGAGGCTCTCTGATTATTGCTGGAGGCCTGGCTGGAGCTTCCTTTTGGTTTTCTGTCTACCCAACTGACGTTGTCAAGAGCGTGATCCAGGTAGACGACCACAAGAACCCCAAATTCTCCGGGTCCATTGATGCATTTAGAAAGATCCTTCGTTCAGAAGGTGTCAAAGGCCTATACAGGGGTTTTGGCCCTGCCATGGCCAGAAGTGTCCCAGCCAATGCAGCATGCTTCTTGGCATATGAGGTGACCAGGTCTAGTTTAGGGTGAAAGATTTAGACATTTCCAAGACATTGGTTTGTAATTTCCTCTTGAAAATTGCTGTTAACTTTCATCAAAATCCTGCAAGAAGCATAGTTTCATACATTACCAAATTTACATTCCATTTTTTTCTCAGAACTTATATTTTTTAGCGGAAAATTTGGATTTCATTGTGATATGAGACATGAATGACTCAATTTCATTACTGATTTTTAAATTTATATACATGTAATTGTTGACTACAATTTAAGCATTAACTCATCCGGGAGAGAGAGATTTGAACCTGGAAAATTCTTGCCTGAGATGAAACTTTCCAAAATAGAGAGACCTGAATTTCTGCTAGTCCTGAATCGGTGTGCCAAGTAGCAATAACGACCTGGCGCATGACTTGTGAGAAAAAGGAGGGAATCCGTAACTGTTTTCAGTCTTAATAGCTCTACACAGCACAAAATGGGCGACACACTGAACTGAACCACTAATCTCTCAGCAACGATAAAGGCTCAAATGCGTTCCAAACGTGAGCTGCGTTGGAAATGGAAGATCGAAGATCTCACCCTTGTATGCATCTTCCTTCTCGCTTGGATCATTTGGATTTCATTGTGAGTAATTAATTCCCTCTCTCCCCACTCTGCTTTTATCTTATCTGTGTTTAATATATGAATCTCTTTCCCGTAGATGAAGTATATAGAAGGTAAACGGAGTTTGCAGAGGGGACCCGGAAAAGAATATGTACCAGTGGATTTGGCCATGAAGGAGGCATGCTTCAAAGGGTCGGTGTTGGATCGAGTGGCAGCCATGGAGCGTAGACTTTCTCAGGTGATATAAATTTCGTAATGTTGTTTAAGTAAGAACATTTGAAAAACTCACAATGTCAATCCTCTAAACATAACCTTAATAAAACCTTTGGCCATTACAAATTGTGAGTACAATTAGAGCCTTAACTTAAGGTCCATACTTCCAACATCATTGACATATACAGCGTCCTGAATTTCTTCTCCAATTGTGGGACTGTTGATTTTTGCTAACTTCTTCCTTATAGCTATGCTTGGAGTTGGAATCCAGCGGCACATCCTGCACTTTCACTTCAACATCTGGGTATGCTTCTTGTAGCCAGGGATCCAAAGCGGAACCAGTTCCATCCTCTTCATTACCAACACTCTGCCACTCAAATATAGAAAACAAACAAGTGTCTCAACCCCTCTTCCGTAGGTCTGAAATTCAGGTAATATCTTCTAGAATAGTCTCCTCATGTCAACATATATAAACTACTTGTGTAATTGCTAATCATGAGATTACTTACCACCCCTCTACTAGTTGACCTTTTTGTTAATTTATCTGACTATAAAACCAACTAATTTAGTTAATCATATGTGTTTACTTGGGGCCACAGAAGAAATCTAGATGCTGTCTTAATAACTAGCAACCGGCCTAGTTGATTAGAAAGCAAGCATGCAGCAGAACAGTATGGTTGTTCAACTTAATTTCTCCCTTTCTGGTGGTTTACAGACTGAATGAGAGAAAAAAGATCTACTTAATACATGGATCTGTCTTCAAGAAAAGCGAGTGACGAAAAAGGGTTTACTTTAAAATGAATTTTTAGGAAGAATGGTTGTGCAAATCATATACAGATAAGCTAATTTGGGTTGTTGTGTTTAAAGTCAAGTGGACAGTCTGGACCTTATAATTGAATTAAATAATCCAGTTTTGCATTTGCTTGCACAAGACTGCTTCATTACATAAATGGTAGTAGTTTATGTCCCAGAAGATAAAGAAAGAAAATATTTTCATATTGGACAGTGACATCATTTGATGTATGATTTTCAATTGGGTTTCTCTACAGGGGAAGACTCAAACAGACCAACAAAAGAGGGAAAATCCACAACCTGTGAGTGTGAAGCCGCAAAATGGGAAAAAGAGATCCAGCATGGATGGAAAAGCATGCAAAAGTACAGGGAAGAAAAGGGTCTCTCCAAAATGGCCACACTTGAGATTGTTTGGCTGCTAAAGTGCTACTAATCAACTACATCCTCCAATATTTCTTTCATGTTTGTCTCTGAGAGTTTCAGTTCTTCTCTAATTTGCCCAATTTTCTTCTGGTAGAATTAAAGCTACAATCTTCGAGTTTTCAATGAATTAATTATTGAATTCCCAAATGAGTCCTTCTGGATTTGCCATTAAACAAAGCATAAGGGTAATAGTGATGAGGTTCTTCCAAAAGCTTCTGGATTGCTCTTCAGAATTCCAGATTGCTGTTCATATAAATTAATGGAAAAAAAAAAAGGACATTCAATAGAAATCAAACGAAGAAGCATATAATAAATTGGAAGTAGATTCCAAATCTCAATGCAAGAGTCCACTAACCACAATTTGATAAACAAATCATTATATTTCAACAGCTATTCCAAATGATTAATTTTCCCCCATACCATTTTTAATTTACAAGAAGCTGTTCCTTTTTTTTGTTTTTGGGCCAATAAGCATTGAATCAGCTCCGGGTCAAGTATCAAAGTTGAGTTTGCCAACCCCAAAGTTTAACCTAATTAATAATTGGATTTTGAATGGAATCAAACAAGATTTAGCTAGACACCATTAAAAATTCAACATCATGTCTCATCAATGGGACAAAAGCCAAAACAATTTGCACCAATCCCACATTCCCCTTTCTACTTTTTATAAGGGCAGGCTAGAAAAATTAGCCGTAAACCAGAATCACAACCCAAAAAGGCAAAAAAATTTAAGAAAAATAAATAAATATATATATTGATGGAAGAAAAGTGGTGTTAGATGCTTCATGTCCATGGAAAAACAATTGGTTTTGGACAAATTAATGGGTTTTTGCCGTAATTTACAATGCAGGGTCAACTATGATTTGTAGATACAAATTTAAAAGATAAACGTGGATTTAGTTATAATGGATGTAGATACAAAGGAATTGGCTTTTGCCTAGGTAGATAAGCAATGGGATGATGTGGACGCCCATTTCTTTTACAAGGCCAGTCCATTCCACGCAAGCTTCAACCTTTCCGAATCAGATCATTTAATTTAGTCATGTGATATTATAGGAATAACTTTTTTATTTTATTTTTTTATATAATTTTTATGTATTATTAAATGAGTAAATATATTTAATATCATGAGTTTTACATAAATTTAAAAAATTAATTATTTTAATGACACATCAGATTATATAAAAAAAAAACAAAATGATTGTCTCAATAACATTTCCCTAATCTAATCAATTATAATTTATAACTTTTTTTATATAATTTTATGTATTATTTAATAACTAATTATTTTTATTTATCTATAAATTTATAACATTACATAAATTTATTTATTTAATGATATAAAAAATTATTTCAATATTATTACCTTATAATTTATTGCCTATAAAAAAAATATTATTACAAATTTTCTTTTAGGAGTAGTAACAATAATTAGTGATTTGTTTCAGTGCACAACACTCCTCTTCATATTTTTATTTTTTATTTTTTAAAAAATAAACTCGAAACCAACTAAGACTCAAGTTGATCTCCATTACATGCACCTATCATTAAAAAAAAAAAAAACATTGGTTATGATAGATATATTGTTTTATAACCTAAATTATTCTAAATTATAAAATAAAAAATTTTTAGATAAAACAAAATCTTTAATATTAAAAAAAATTTATTAATGATTTAAATAATTTAATAATAATATTTTTATTAAAAATATGAGATTTTTAATTTAAATAGTATGATATATGAGTGAAATAAAATAATAGATAAAATAAAATTTTTTATTATACAACTAAGATAAAATAAAAAAAAACACTCTCCCCATTAAGAAATTAATATTTTGTCATTTATATTGTAAAATACATTTTCATATTAAGGTATCTCTTTTCTTTTTTTTTAAACATTTTTGACACAAAGCGGGTTCAAAACCCGCCCAGAGAAGGAGGAAATGCACCTAACAAGCTGACTAATGCCAGTGGGCCACTAAGCTCAGGTACAACTATACATTTGATTTGTCCGGCTCATGATACATTATTTAATATATTTCTTTCTGCAAAACATTCAACAATAGTACTAGTAATTACAAATCCAAATCTTAAAAAGAAAAAAAAATGCTAAAATAACTACAAATATTATTGCATCTAGCCAGCTAGTGCTTCGCTTTCAATGTTTCAACCCCTCTCAAATTTTTGTTTCCTTTATTTTATTAATTCAAAAAGATAATTGCTAATAAAATTATGCATTATTTATTTATTCACATGAGAACATTTAATTAAATAAGTTGATTTTCCAAGGCTGCCCTT